CACACAAAGGCCTTTGTGTATGTAGCAAACTTTACTGAAGATTTGGAGATGAAGGGGCTTTACATAGCAAAAATACAAAAAACTGAAAGTTGAGTATTAGACATCCATGAGCTTAAGAAGACCCAGCCATTTCTACCAGTGGGGCCCCCGCCTTCTATGAAGACATCTGACCACCTCTCCCTGCCGTTTCTCAAGAAGCTGAATGAAACTCAGATTTCCTGACGCTTTCTTAGAGTATTTTAGTCCTCCATTTGCTGCCTTCCCTTTCTTTTATTTTTTTTTGAGATAGGGTCCTTCTCTGTTGCCCAGGCTGGAGTGCAGTGATGCAATCTCAGCTCGCTGCATCGCTGACCTCCTGTGCTCAAGCAATCCTCCCACCTCAGCCTCCCAAGTCGCTGGGACTACAAGAGCACGCCACCATGCCCTGCTGATTGTTCTGTTTTTTTGTAGAGATGGGGTTTTGCCATGTTGCCCGGGCTGAGCTCAAGTGATCCTCCCGCCTCAGCCTCCCAAAGTGCTGGGATTACAGGTGTGAGCCACCGCACCCGGCCTGTCTTTCCTTTCTAGACTATCCCTTGGGGCCTCTTTCTCCCCTTAATGGGTCACAAAGTTATCTCCCCAATTTAGAACACTCCCTCCCCTTTCCTGACACCAGGGTAAAGATATAAAACTTGCACTGGGCAGTTCTCGCTAAACCAAGACTTGAGGTCTTCTACTCACCTTCTTTGAGGGACATTAGAGCTTTTTTTCCTCTAAAAATAAGTATGCGTGCATGTGCGTGTGTTTTAGGGGTGGGAAGGGCAGAGTCAGGGGACATTTTTACACACCCACATTTCACATTCCCTGAGTGCATGCCACGAGTGAGGGGTGGCCCTGCTCCTTCACACGCCATGACCTTTCCTCCTCCCGACAGCAACCCCAAGTCGGAGACTTTATTCTCATTTCACAAATGAGATTATGAAGTTCCCAAGGGGGCGCTCGTCCAAGATCACATGACTCGTAAGAGGTCAATGTGATCACTGGCCTGGCTTAACTTTAAGTTCTTTTTGGAGACGGAGTTTCGTTCTTGTTGCCCAGGCTGGAGTGCAGTGGCACGGTTTCGGCTCACTGCAACCTCCATCTCCTGGGTTCAAGCCATTCTCCTGCCTCAGTCTCCCTAGTAGCTGGGATTACAGGTGCCCACCACCACACCCAGGTAGTTTTTGTATTTTTAGTAGAGATGGGGTTTCACCACGTTGGTCTTGAACTGACCTTGGGTGATCCGCCCACCTTGGCTTCCCAAAGTGCTGGGATTACAGGCGTGAGCCACTGTACCCGGCCAAGTGTACATTCTTAAGAACAACGTACATAGACTGGGGAAAAGTGTCTCGTTTTCATTCTGAGAGCTAATACAACAGAGAGTGTATGAAGAGGTCAAACACAGGGACCACTGGGTGGAGCACACTGCCATTCCACCTCACCTTCCCACTCTGTGCCACACACCTGATGCGGACCCACCCAACACAGCCATGGCCCTCCTACCCACCCCCCAACCTGCCCGGTGTCCTCTGAGTCTCAGCCCAGCAGAGGGAGCAGGTGCACGCTCTAAGCACACACACGGTACAGGAGCTGGGCGAGGCCAACCATGCCAGCCCCTCGCTCCACACCCCACTGGCTTCCGTTCTGAAAGGGAAGAACCACACACACACCCCCCGCCAAACTCCTGCGTGGGTTTCTCTGTTAGAAAGATCATCCTGCTCTGAAAGACGGGGGCCAATGGGAAACAGTCTGCTGGCTCATGCCTGGACCCACTGAGAGAGACGGTCCATCTCCCGTCCCCATTTCCACCTGGACAGTGCTGTCTAACTCGGATCATGTCAGAATGGTGGAGGAGTCTCTATCCCCACAGGGCTCAGGGACCCTTCCTTGCCTCACAGGCCCCATTGACATGACCGCTTGCCACACACATTCGCTCCCTCATCAAACGGAACCAGGAAATGAGGTCTCACTGCGCAGAGCTGAGTTTTGTGGGAAGAAACTGAAACACACACACATGCCTCTCTGAGATCCAGAGCAGCCCACTGCTGTTTTCTAGAAAATCCGATCAAAAAGACTCCCTTGCTTAACACACGTCCAGGACTTCCCATCACACTGGGTAAAGTCTGAAGCCCTCACCAAGAGAGGGGGCACCACCGGGCCGCCTGCTGCCTTTCCCCACCTGGAATGTGCTGGTCCCTCCTCTCTCCGTTCACTCTGTATTCTGGACACAGTGGCCTCTTCTCTGTGCCTGGACACATCTGTCACCTCCCTGCCCCCAGCACCTGCTGTTCCCTCCGCTTGGAATACTGTTCCCCCGGCCCCCCAGGGCTGGCTCTTCCTGCCCTTCAGAATCAGCTCAAGCCCCACCACCTGCGAGAGGCCTCCCCCAGTGACTCGACCTCAGCACCTGCACAGCCTCACCACGCCCGCCTGTCTCCTCACCTGCTTCCTCTTTGCTTCCCAAGGAGCCTGTCTGTCGTCTTCCTCCCTGACACATTCCCACTGACACATCCCCAGTGCCTAGCACAAAGCAGAAGTTCAGTAAGTATTTGCTAAGTGAATGAACAGATGCACGAATCGTCCAAGCAAGTTAGCGGAGCTCTCCGTGCCACATTTGCCTCATTGGTAAAATGGGGCTAGCATAGTACCCATTGGGTGAGGATGAGAAGAGACGAGAGGCACCTGTGTTCAGGTACCAAGCATGTGACAGGGGTTCTAACAGGGCGTAAATGGAATGCCTCTGACACACAAGGGCAGGCATGACTAAGCCTTCTGCATGAGAAGAGGGGATTCCTCTTTGGCTCTGGAAGAATGAGCGACAGAGGGCAGATGGAAGATGGGATGAGCACTACTGGCCGGGGGTGCTGGGAAGTAGGTGACTCAGGGTGGCTAGTGGGGAGGCAGCAGGGAGCCTCAGAGGAGGCTGCAGGCGAGGTGGGGCCAGTTCACCCATTTGTCTCAAGGGTCATGGTCTGCACCACACCACGGGGAAGGCAGCTAAGTCTGCCACCTGCTATGGTTGACCGGCTTGGATTTTACACCTGTAAGGAGGTGACTGTCCACTAGGCTGCTGAGGTCAGTTCATAGAGGGAAGGAAAACTCACAGGCAACACCTGGACCCAAAAACATCTGCACTGACCTCTTCCCCAGCCAGGACACAAACAGGTTATCTCTTTAAATGTGCATTTGTCCTGTGGCCAAGAGGCTGCGGGCACAACACATCCTTCCGCCACAGCGCTGGTGCTGCCAGTCAAGCTAGAACGGCCAACCCCAGCTTCCCATATTCAATCCCCCAGAGACAGGGGAGGGGCGAGAGCGAAGGCAAAGGCTGTGCTGGCGCCTGGGGGTGAGGGCAGGAGAGCCTCACACAAACACAAACCCATGCGGGGACATACAGGCACCTGCTCAGGGGCTCCTCCAACCCCAGGTTCCCCAAGAGCCCACGCCCCAGCTTCTGATGAGAGCTGGGCCTCCAGACTGCGCAGCTCTGCAGCCTGGCAAGAGGTGTAGCGGTGGTCCTGATGCCCGGAGAGGTTTGGTTAAAGCTGTTCTGTGGTAAGACAGTGGGGGCTGGGCCATGGAGGAGCGGGAGACTAGGCTGCTGGCCTCTTCCCCAAATCTGGGATGCTGCCAACTTCCCTCCATCTGCTTCCCTAGAGGCTGCCCACCCCTTAAGGGCAGCTCCCCTCAAACACTACCCTTCCCTGAATCTCCTGCACCTTGATCTCTCCCGTCTCTGAGCGCCAGTGGCTTTGAGGATCACTTAACAGTTTTCCAGTCTGACTTAGTGAGACTGCAAGCTCCTATGATTAATAACGACGTATATTTAGTGAACACATTTATGTGTGGGGTACTATGCTAGGCACTGTAGATACGCGAGGTAGGTTACTGTTATACAGATTTTACAGATGGGGAAACTGAGGCACAGTGAAATGAAGTAACTTGCCCCAAGGTCACTCAGCTAGTCTGACTCCAGAGCCCTCGCTCCTAACCACACTCCATGACACCTCTTCGATGCTGTCTTTCTTACTCACGTAGTCCCATGCCGTATCTCCCCGAGCGCTGGACACACGATAAACATTAACACCCCTAGGTTGAATCTTCCTTCCCTTTCCGCTCTAGGCTACTGATCTGTGGTTCCTATGAGGGAAGATGACCCCAAAGAGCCACTAGGTGGCAGCAAGGAGCGGGATTCCGGCCTCCCCGTGGCAGGGAGGGAGGGAGGGAGGGAGGAGTTCATTGTTAGGTGTATTTAGTGCACCTTGCACCAGGCACTTCCCGGACTTCATATCTTCCCACTCTACAGAGAGGAAAGGGGACTAAGGTTCAGACAGGTTGACAAATGCCCAAGGTCAGGCAGCTTAGAATACTAGGACCGAAGCCAGGACTGGCAAAACTCTGAGCCCATGCCAGTTCTCAGGAGAAATAAACCCAGGAACCCCTTCAGCTGCGTATCTAAGTCCAGGCTCCTCAGCCCCGCTGCCTCCTGCCCTCCCAGCCTCCTGCCCTCCCCACCTCAGGCTCCTTCGATCTGAAACCAGCGCCCCCAGCGTGGTCATGGAAGATGGTCATGGCATCCACATCCACTGAGATGGACGGAAACTATCCAGAGAGCTCTGGCGGTGTCCCCGTCCAACAACTGTCACCTCCACACCTAAAACCCGCCCCCCCAGGGACGGGGCCTCTCTGTGTGAACCGTCCTGCGAGTGCAGCAGGGGTGCACGTGGCTGCGGGTGCATAGCCCATGCGTTTCTCGGACCTCCCGGCGTGACCACCGCCACAGTGCAGGGGCTTGAGAGGCAGCACGGGGACCCGTCACATCTTCGGTTTCAGGGTCTGGTGATGTTCCTGGCTGAGTCCATTGGGGTGCTGGCTTCAGAAATGCCCGGGGTGCGTCTCTGAGCACTGCTTCCGGCCTGCCTCCCAGATGGCCCCATTGCTCCCCCAGTCCCTCCCGAGGCTCACACAGCCAGACCAGGTCCTCTGAAAAGACACAGCATCTTGGGTTTATTTGGGGTTGGGCACCGCAGGTTCAGGCACAGTTTGTTCCTGGGTAGAGTCACAACTGCTCCTCTCAGCTCTCTTGGCACTTCAGGGGCTGCCCCTGCAGGTCCCCTCCCCACGTCCCCGTTTCCTGCACACACGTCTCTTCCCCCCTCCCTGCTCCCCGAGTCTCTCATTCTTTCACCAGCCTGTAGATATGGTGCTGAGCCCCATGCTCACTGGCTGACACCTCGAAGACATAGGCAATGCACAGCAAGGTCTCCTGTGTGTCTCTGTTGGTGACGACCTGTGGGAGAGAAAAAGACAAGGGTGAATAAGGCCCCAGATGAGGGCACGCCCTCGCTGCTACCCACACACAGACTCCAGCCACACCCGCGGCACACCTGCAGGATGGTGAAGTTCTCCAGCACGCTGTTCATCATGTACTTCTCGGGGAGGTGCTTCAGCTTGTGGATGAAGTTGATCATGTACTCACAGAGCGGGGACCGGTGGATGCGGTAAGAGTAGTGTCCATTCTCATAGCGAGCATACTCTGTCTGCAGGGCCCGGGGACAGCAGGGGCTTAGAATCCCATTCTGACCACCTTGGGCCCAGACCCAACTCCATGGGAAGCCCCAGGACCCAGACCCAACTCCATGGGAAGCCCCAGGACCCAGACCCAACTCCATGGGAAGGAAAGGCAGGAGGCCTAGGGGCCCTTAAGAAAAGAGTCACCCCCAGCCAGGGGCAGTGGCTCATGCCTGTAATCCCAACACTTTGGGAGGCCAAGACAGGCGGATCACCTGAGGTCAGGAGTTCAAGACCAGCCTGGCCAACATGGTGAAACCCTGTTACTATTAAAATACAAAAATTAGCCAGGCACGGTGGCACGCGCCAGTAATCCCAGCTACTCTGGAGGCTGAGGCAGGAGAATCGCTTGAACCCGGGAGACGGAGGTTGCAGTGAGCTGAGATCATACCACTGCATTCCAGCCGGGGCGACAGAGTAAGACTGTCTCACACACACAAAAAGAACAGTCACCCTGTTAGGTTGGTGGACATTAAACAAGACCTCCTTCCTCCACGGGTGACCAGCAGGAACCGGGGATGGCAGGAGGGGAGCTTAAGGAGACACAGGAGCAGTGGCAGGAGCCTCTCAATCCTGGCTGTACGTGAGGACACCACGGGGGATACACAGGGACCCCTGGGAGTCTGGTGGCGATCATGCAAGTCTCCGTATCTACATGTACCCGTGCACGTGCACACAGGAGCGCGTATAAAGCTGGTGAGATCTGAGCCAGCTTGGTGGACTGCATCAGTGTCAATTTCCTGGGTGTCCCCTTTATACTCTAGTTACACAAGACATTGCCAGGGCAAGAACTGGGTAAAGGGCACATGGGATTATGATCCCAAGTGGATCCACAATTATCTCAAAAGTTTTACAAGATTAACTAGAAATAAATAATTTGAGGCACTCTTTAAAAACCAATAATGCCTGGACTCTACCCTGGAGATTGAGGGGTGCTGAACGGGTTTCAAGCACTGGTGTGTTTCCAAAGCTCCCAGGAGACTGTAGGGTGCAGCCAGGTGGAGAAGCACTGGGGGAAGGAATCTCTCTTCCCTGGTGCTGGCCTGGCGTCTGGCTGCATTTGGCATGAGGAAGGTTATCAATAACTGATAGGCTGTGAGACTAGGACTTCATGAATTCAGACCAAGCTGGGGACAGGGTGAGGAGAGGGACGCAGACCGGCCTGCATGGCGAGGGGGTCTGGTTTAACAAGCGTGTGGGCGGCACAGGGTCCCGGACTCTCAGAGTGCACAGGTGTTTCGGGCTGGAGGCCTTCAGTCCCAGCTCCTTGTCACTGCCACTATGCAGCGGGCCCAGAGCACAGGGTGCTGCAGGAGACTGTGTCACGGACAGTGAAGATAACTTGGCCCTTGTTTAGAGATAAACGGAGGATTTTATCACAACCCCCCAAACACCCACCGGAAAGCAGGGTGGCTGGGTGGGGGGTCCCCCTGAATGTGTGCTCCTCACCACTGTCCTGCACTGCCCTTGGCCGGGGGTTTAGCCGAGTGGGAGAAACCACCGCCTAAAAGGCAGGCCTGAATTTTCTGTAACATCCACTTGAGCGGGGTCTCCAGGTCACCCACAAGTAGAAAATCAGGGAGTTTTAGGCATTCATGGAGCAAAGTGAGCAGTGGACAGAGATCCTAGGCACCGAGCCCTGCTTCTGCACTAGTGAGCGGTGTGACCACGTGCGGGCGGTCGGGGGAGGCTTCTGCTCTCTCTGGGCCTGCACTGTGAAGCCAGAGGGCTGGACTAGGTAGATGCCCCAGGGCCCTGCCTGTGCTGCGGCTCTGATCTTGGAGAGGACCGGAGGCGCCTGTAAGGACGTGCTTGGAAGATCCTGCACGGGCAGCAATGGCTCTGGGGAGCGCCCCTCACCCACCAGGGTGGCCTCCTACCTCAACTTTCTCCACCACCTGCTTGCCGAAAGAGCAGACCTTGGTGGAGCAGGTGATAATCATGTTCTCGGGGCTCTCATACTGGCTGGAGACCCCATAGAAGGAGCTGCCTTCATCCTCGATGTTGGTGTTGAGGTCTGCCTGGAGGGAGACAGGGGGAAGCCGAGGGAGGGTCAGCAGGTGCCGTGTCAGACGGGAGCATCAGGGAGACCTCAGGGTCCCGGTCCCGGCTCTAGGGCTGGGAAGAAATCAGACTGAGGGTAGACAGTAGGACGCTGGAAAGCCTCCACCATCCTCTACATCTCTGCCTGGTACAAAATCAGGTTGTGTTGCCTAAATCATGGGAAAAGAGGACACCAGGACCCACACAGTTTCAGGCCACTGCTGCCTGCCCAGATACTAACACACCCAGCAGGTGGGAGCCCCAGATTCCATCTTTAAGACTTCAAGTTTCATAGTTTAAGACTTTGTTCTTGTTAAACTGCAAAGGTTTGAATCTCTATCAGACAGCTCTATTTTAGTTTGAATGCATCTATCAGAGTCGTTCCAGAGTGAATTCTGATAGTGCAGGAAGCATGGGAACAGAAAACCAGGGCAGGAGACCGGCAGGGGGGAGGGTGGAAGGGGTGAAGGGTGCTCCTATCTCATCCTCTTGTCTCGCCGGAGACCCGATTGATGCTCTCTTAGAAACTGCTCTAGGGCTGGCTTCTTGCCCCTCTAGGCATTGCGGGGTCCTGCCACCTTGTATCTTTTGACATCTCTGCTTCAGCCTCCAGAGCAGTATCCCTGGCACCAGCTGTCCCTCCCTTTGGTTCATTCTCTTAACGGCCCTGGGAGTCTCTTCAGAAGACGTCACTGCACCATCTCATCGAGCCATTTAGCCACAAGGGACAGGAGTCTTGGTCCCCGGCCTGGCTCACAAGGCCCTTCACAGGCCCAGCCACTGGTCCTCTAGGTCAGCTTCTCACCTTGCCTCAGACAGGCTGCTCTTCCTTCCCCTGATAAAGCAGAGCCCAGAGGGCCTCCTGCTGAATGTGGGGCTGATCTGAAACTTCTCTTCTAGAAAAGGCAGAGTAAGACTCTGCCGATCTCACACCCAAAATCACAGCCTCGGTTTTATCCATGATGGGTCCTGACTGTTAGCCTTGCCCACCACCACCCAGCTGGTAAGTGAGAGATCCCAGGTCTTCAGGCTCCAACCCCAAGACTTGTCCCAAACCAGCAGAGTGCCACCGCGAAGAAAGGAAGGCACCACACAGACAAGCTCTGGGGACTCTGAGGCAGGAACTGTATTCCTGAAGCCCTACGCCTCTGAGGGGACCCCATGCCCAGAACTTCAGCCCCACATCAAACATCTGAGCCAAGGGTGCTAAGAGAACAAGTGAAGACTCAGGAACAATGCACAGGCACATTACAAAAGGCTTATTCTCAGGGGCGGCCAGTCCTCCCACCCACACCCCCGGTCCGAAATCACTGCAAGCTGCACCCGGAGCACAGCCCTAGGAGTGCAGTAGAGCTTCGGGCCTTGGTCAAGGTTCTGACACCAAGGACTCTTCTGTGCGAAGATGAGGGGATCCCTAGAACCCCAGGAAGGTTTTGGCCAGATTCAGAGCCAGGCACCAAGCAATTCTACTACTGGCCATGAGGGGACACTCAATCATTATTTTTCTCTCCTTTGGAGAGAAGTTTTCCCAGAGCAGGACCTTTCTCTAGACTGGCGGGGGGTGTCGATTGTCTATAGCACAATAGAAACATTATGTAGCCACCAAAAACGCTGAGAAGGACCTGCATGTATTATCATGGATGACTACAAACACACTGAGTGGGAAAGCAGGCTACGGAGCAGAATGAGGGTGGATTATGTTTATGATGAGGAAAAAAAGGCTGTTTTCATGCTGAAACAGAATGGCATATGGTTCGGTGCATCTGCCTCGGCTTTGATGAGGCCATTAGGGAAAAAGAGCATTCGAGTCAATGCTCAGCCTCTGAAACAGAGAGCAATGCTTATCCTAAACACCCTCCACTACCAGCCCTGGGTTGGCCTCAGTCTCCCCACTCTGTCTCCATCTGTGATGCTGGGAGGGAGGGGATGACACATGGCAGGCAGGGTGCCCAGGGGGCATGGCAGAGGTGGCTGAGGCCTCTGCCAGATGAGATTTAACTGTGGCCGTGACTGGCCCAAGGTCTTACAGGCAAATGTAAGGCAAATGGGACCAGAACCTGGGCTTTCGGGTTTCTATTTTCTTCTTCTTCTTTTTTTTTTTTTTGGTTAAAGGCAGAATTGTGCTCCATCACTCAGGCTGGAGTGCAGTGGTATGATCATGGCTCACTGCAGCCTTGAACTCCTGGATTGGAGCAGTCTTCCCACCTCAGCCTCCTG